CGCTGACCCTCCGACAGTGCGGCGCTCCCTCGGCGCTGACCCTCCGATTGTGCGGCGCTCACCCTCCGACAGTGTGGCGCTCCCTCAACGCTGACCCTCCGATTGTGCGGCGCTCCCTTGGCGCTGACCCTGGTCATGTCAGCCTGTGTTATGAGCTTTTGAGTCCCTGGTGTGTGAATCAAATCCGATTCTTTGTCTCCCTTTCAGTGAGATGAGGTCAAACTACAACAATCATGTGTAGGAATGTGGTGGACTAGCCAGTTGAGATGCTCTGCATGGGCTCGAAGCCAGGCCTTCTGGATGTGAATGGAGTCTATTTATTGCTGGTGCAGCCTGTAACTCACTGCTTGTGTTTCCAGCCTGTGTGTGGTTACGGGGCCCCAGATGTGCTCCCTTTTCGCTCGGTGAAGGAGGGAGAGCTCTTTGTCGTGGAGGATCGCGAGGTCAATCTGGTGGAGCTGGCGCTGGCCACCAACATCCCCAAGGGCTGTGGCCAAACTGTAGTCCGAGGTAGGGAGGCTGTGGGGAGAAGAATTGAGTTCCTGAGCGGTCGGTGTATCCCAGTTACGCGCTAATGCCTGTTCCCTGTCTTTGTTTGTCCAGTTCAGGTCTCCTACTTAGAGAGTAAAGCAAATGAGGAACCTCAGGGAGCGGGTGAGTATTACTCCCAATCAGATCCTCCCGGCTAGAATTAGACCACTGAGCCCATCAACTGGCAAGACTGGCCAGTCACTAGAGGGACATACAAATCAGGAGGAGAACCAGAGGGTGTTGTGGGGGGGAGGGGGAGAGGTCGGGGGTGGTAGACAAAGAGAATGTTTTATCTGAGGAATTGAGTTGTTGTGTTCTGGGACCTGCTGTGGGGACAGAGGGACTATCGGTGGGATCTTTACAGTTTACGTGACACAAGATTGGCAGAGGGACAGGTAGTGTTGAGGAAGCAGGGGGGCTGCAGAAGGACATTATAGGTGGAGGAACAGGTAGTGTTGAGAACATAAGAACTAGGAGCAGGAGTAGGCCATCCAGCCCCTCGAGTCTGCCCCGCCATTTAATAAGATCATGGCTGATCTTTTTGAGACTCAGCTCCACTTACCCGCCCACTCACCATAACCCTTAATTCCTTTACTGTTCAAAAATTTATCTAGCCTTGCCTTAAAAACATTCAGCGAGGTAGCTTCAACTGCTTCACTGGGCAGGGAATTCCACAGATTCACAACCCTTTGGGTGAAGAAGTTCCTCCTGACCTCAGTTCTACATCTGCTTCCCTTTATTTTGAGGCGATGCCCTCTAGTCCTAGTTTCACCTGCTAGTGGAAACAACCTCCCTGCCTCCACCTTATCTATTCCCTTCATAATCTTATATGTTTCTATAAGATCTCCCCTCATTCTTCTGAATTCCAATGAGTATAATCCCAGTCTACTCCGTCTCTCCTCATAATCCAACCCTCTCAACTCTGGAATCAACCGAGTGAATCTCCTCTGCACCCCCTCCAGTGCTAGTATATCTCTTCTCAAGTAAGGAGACCAAAACTGCACACAGTACTCCAGGTGTGGCCTCACCAGGACCCTATACAGCTGCAGCATAGCCTCCCTGTTTTTAAACTCCATCCCTCCAGCAATGACAGACAAAATTCCATTTGCCTTATTAATCACCTGCTGCACCTGCAATCCTACTTTTAGCGATTCATGCACAAGGACACCCAAGTCCCTCTGCACAGCAGCGTGCTGCAATTTTTTACCATTTAAAACATAGTCCATTTTGCTGTTATTCCTACCAAAATGGATGACCTCACACTTATCAACATTGTACTCCATCTGCCAGACCTTTGCTCACTCGCTTAGACTATCTATATCCCTCTGCAGACTTTGTGTCTTCTGCACACTTTGCTCTACCACTCACCTTAGTGTCATCTGCGAATTTTGACACACCACACTTAGTCCCCAACTCCAAATCATCTATGTAAATTGTAAACAATTGCGGTCCCAACACTGATCCCTGAGGCACACCACTAGCCACTAGCCACTGGCCGCCAACCAGAAAAACACCCATTTACCCCTCCTCTTTGCTTTCTACTGGTCAACCAGTCCTCTATCCATGCCAATACATTACCTGTAATACCGTGCAACTTTATCTTATGTAGCAGCTTTTGGTGTGGCACCTTGTCAGATGCCTTTTGGAAATCCAGATACACCACATCCATAGGTTCCCCATTGTCCACTGTGCAAGTAATGTCCTCGAAGAATTCCATGAAATTAGTTAAACATGACCTACCCTTCATGAACCCATGCTGGGTGTTCCCAATGGGACAATTTATATCCAGATGTCTTGCTAAATCCAGATTTAGGGGTTAGGCAGAAGGACATTACAGGCGGAGGGACAGGTAGTGTTGAGGAAGCGGGGGGGGCTGCAGAAGGACATTATAGACGGAGGGACAGGTAGGGTTGAGGAAGCCGGGGGGAGGCTGCAGAAGAACATTATAGGTGGAGGGACAGGTAGTGTTGAGGAAGCGGGGAGGCCGCAGAAGGACATTATAGATGGAGGGACAGGTAGTGTTGAGGAAGCGGGGAGGCCGCAGAAGGACA